GCTTGATTTCCAACATTTATATGGCAGCTAACAACTGTTCATAACTCCAGTCCAATGGGATCCAATGCCTTCTTCTGGCCTCCACTGGCACTATGCACACATGGCAGACTTTCATGCAGGCTAAACACCCATACACATAAATTAAAAAACCTTTATTAAGTGTATAATCTCTGTGTGAGTACAAACCCACACATGCTACAGCATGTATGTAGATTTCAGAATAAAATCATTTTTATAAAATTATCTCTCCTTTCATGGGAGTTTTAAGAACCAAACTCAGGCCATCTGGCTTGTCTGGCAAATGCTTTCACATCACACACACACACACACACACACACACTCTCTCTCTCTCTCTCTCTCTCTCTCTCTCTCTCTCTCTCTCTCTCTCTCTCCTTTGAAGAAACTTCTAATAGACACCTTAGTTAATAACCTCTGCTTTAGAAGAACAAGCAGTTAAGGAAACCCAAAAGAGCATTTACACTCTAATATGCACTTGCTACTTTACCAAAACCCGATTTACTTTCTAGATTTCAATAACTCTACATTAGCACAAACAACGTAAATGGGACAATTTTTTGTTGTTTTAACTTTTATTTATTTATTTAATGTCCATTGGTATTATGCTCATGGGTATCAGGTTCCCTGGAACTCAAATTACAGACAGTTGTGAGCTGCCATGTGGCTGCTGGGTATTGAACCCAGGTCCTCTGGAAGAATAGTCAGTGCTCTTGGTTAAGAGTCATCTCTCCAGTCCCAAATGGAACAATCTTATACTGATTTATAAAGAAGTGATTTCAAGGGGCTGAAGGGATAGTTCAACAGTTAGGAGCATTGCTGCTCCTGCTGAGGACTTGGTTTGATTCCCAGCATTCTCATTAAGTAACTTATAACTACCCGCAACTCCTGGAAATCTTCTGGTCTCCAAGGCGACCTGCACACATGTAGTGTATACCCATACACATACACACACAGAAACATGCATATACACATAAGTAAAATAAGAAAATTAAACTATTTCATAAGTTTTCAAATAATTATATTGATTACAGTAAATAAATACCAACAATTATTCTAAATGTGACTTTACACTAAAAACTTAGGTGGTTTAAGAAGTTAGACATGCTGTGCTCTAGCTTATGGAAGTCTGAGATCTGAGTTTAGGAAAACTTATCTCAAAAAGAAAACAAGCAGGGAACTTGAGAAAAATAGCGCAGTCAGTAAAGTGTCTGCCACTTTACTGGAGGTCCTGGGTTCAGATACCCAGGACCCTTATTTAAAGTGTGTTTGGGGGCGGGGAATTCAGCAGTCACTGTATCTGGGGTTGATAGTAGAATGAACATATGCTTTTTACAAGTACTTTGACCTTGAAGGGTCCTTGTGGAAAACTGATTGTTTTCCATGATTGGAGAATGGTTTTGCTGAAGGAGCACTGCAGCCATCCAATGACCTTGGTCACAAGACACCTCAGGCACACCTGAGGGTCTTGTACTATTGTGTATTGCAAATGATACATAAAGTCACGCTCTCCATCAGTAAGACATGTAAATACTTTGTGTAACAATCAATAAATACGTCTGTGTATGGCTGTTCTGGCTCAGTCCATCAGAGGCTGGGCCTTCCCGCTACCACACAGGCCTTAAAATTTCATCCTGGAGTGCCTTCTCTCTTCAACTGACGGGTGTTACACAGCGTATCCCAGCGTGCATGCGTGCGTGCAAGCGTGCATTGCTGGGGCTGGAGAGACGGCTTAGTGGTGAGGAGCACTTGTTCCTCTCGTAGGACGAGAGTCCAGTTCCCATCACCCACACTGTGTCTCACAACCATCATTACTCCAGTTCCAGAGGATTTAACACTGTCTTCTGGCCTCAATAGTCACGTGTATGTGTAGGCAAAACACCTAAAGATTTAAAAAGCTCTTTTAAAAATATAAAAATGTATCTGGTGAGGCTTGGGGAGATGGCCTAGCAGTTAAGAGTACTGTTCTTCCAAAGGATCCGAGTTTGATTCCCAGCACCCAGCTCACAATGGCCTGTAATGCCAGCGCCAGGGGACCTCACGCCTTCTGCTCAAGGGCACTGTACTCACATGTACAACCCCCTCACATACACACAATTCAAATAATAAAATATTTCCTTTAAATGTGTGTAGCGGTGTGCAGCCGAACTCCTAGTGCTCTAGTGGTAGACAGGACAGGCAAATCCCTGGAGCTCACTGCCTAGTCAGCTTAGATGAGTCAGAGAGCTTCAAATTCAGTGACATACTGTCTCAAAAAATAAGAAATTGAGGAAGACACCCAACATCAACCTTTGACCTCTTATGCACACACCCAGACACATACACCCAAGTAAAAGAAAAAGAGATGTTCCAAACTAATGATTAGTAGGATAGTTAGAGATGAGGAAAGGCCACACTATTTCCAAACTTTCTGTTGAAAAGCATCTAGGAAAAGGAAGCATTTATTCTCATACTTTTAAAGTTATTTCCATAGTGTCTAAGAACGATACAGAAGTGCTGATCTGAAAATACAGACCCAGATAAAAACCTGCCATAAACCCGACATAGCTACTTAGAAAGATCTGCAGAGAACGTTAGAGAAGGAGACACAGGACGACACAGAAGGAGTCACACTCTAGAAACCTTCAAGAGGGCAGTCTGGGGCTCCCGCTTGTGGGCGGACAGCGGCCTTTTGATCTCTTAACACCATGGTGTGTGTGAGTGCTTGATAAAGCAACAAGCCAACAGACCTCGGAAATAAAAATCTTAGTATAGGAAGAAAAGGGCATAATTCTTCTTGATTCATTAGGAAGATCCCATTCTAACAGAACAGAAGAAGGGACTCAAAGAACAGGGAAAGTAGAGATGACAAAACAGAGCAGACCCAGAGCACAGTGGGCAACTACAGCCTCCGTGCGCACCTACGCCAGCATTTCCTGCCCCAGAGTTACAACTCCATGAACATACCACCCACATTGCCACATAGGCTAATAAGATCCTCTGCCTAAAAAGCCTGGTGTTTCAGAACAAAACATTGGTTTTGATCTGTAACTAGGAAAACAATGAACTAGAAAATTTTCAAAAACTTAATACAAAAATATTTTTCCTAAATAAGGGGTTTTTGATTTGTTTTGTTTTTTCAAGACAGGGGGTTTCTCTGCCTGGCTGTCTCAGAACTCACTCTGTAGACCAGTCTGGCCTTGAGCTCACAGAGATCCGCCTGCCTCTGCCTCCCGAGTGCTGGGATTAAAGACGTGTGCCACCACAGGTTTTGGATATAATAAAGCTCAGCAGTAGAAGCCTTGACTAGCATTCATAAGATGACAGGTCTGACCATAAAATAAAATCAACTAGTAATCAAACCTCACATTAGCTTTAAATGCTCCCCCCCTACACTTTTCTGGGGTGGGAGATGGGGGTGAGATAGGGTGTATTATGTAGTTCTGACTGACCTGGCACTCACTATATAGACCAGGCTGACCTCCAACTCCCAGAGATCTACCTGCCTCTATCTCCCAAGTACTGGGATTAAAGGATGCACGTCACTTTTTTATATACACCAGTCCTGGCAAAACATAATACTTTATGTGTGCAAGGAGCCTGTGGAAACCAGAAGGCATCAGATCCCCTGGAACTGGAGCTAATAAAACATGGGTGCCGGGAACCAAACCTGAATGTCTACAAGCACAGTAAGAGCTCTTATCTGACAAACCATCTGGCCAGCCTGGAGGAAAGACAATTGATTGGGGAACCTAACTACCAGATGGTTTAGAGATCAAAGGATCCGAGTCCATAGCTGGTACGGTAACTACCAACTGGGGCAGCATTTTCATTTCAGCCTTCTCTCAAAGGACCCAGGTTCACATGCTCTGTGGAATAAATAAGCAGAGAAGGGGCGCAGGAAGTGGTGTAGAGCTACTTTACAATTCATCAAGATAAGAACACCTGAACTGTTTTTCTAAGGGAATCTACAATCATACAGCCCTCCAACTCTTGTCCAGCTGTCACTACAAAAACGGACAAACTGGTCAAACACCACCTACAGCTAGCAAGGAATTAGTCACTGTGGGCCAGTGCTGCTGGGGGAGGGCACTATGCATGGTTTCCCAGCAGCACAGCTATGGCCAGGGTATTTTACTGCCAAGCCACTTGGGCCCCTCCTCCCCAGCTAGACAGCCTGGCTCCTTTGCATTCCCCTCAGGAGATAGGGTGGAAGTACATAGCTCCACTTTGTAAGGCGTAGAGGGCAGCTGAAAGTCCTGCTTGGCCTCTCTGGGCAACCACAGGCGCCAATAAATCAGCCACAGGCGATTCTCTCATCCCCTTCCCAGCTAGAAGTGGGAGCAAGATAGAACGCAAAAGAGCACTGACTAGACCTGGAAGAGAAGTGATCTAGGTTTACATTCCTCTGCAAATGACTGTCACCACAGTCAGGTATATCCCTCTGGTTCACTTCAGCAGGTTTAAAACGTATTTGTAACACGGAGCCAAAACTACCATTTTAGGGAATTCACCTACAAAAACAGCCAGCAAAAGTTAGCACATAAAACTAAACAGCGACAAGAACCTGAGTGGAAATTCTTATAACTAAAAAAGATATTATAGTACTTGGCACAAATGTCGAGAGGGGGGCTCTTCTTGATGACCTCCCCATGTTTCACCGCTACCTGATTCCATCACAGTCGCCTAAGCTATTTCATGTCTGTCCCACTGTCTGGCAGCGGATCACACTCTTAACTAAATCATACCTAGGTTGCTAAAAGGAAACAGTGGCCAGACACGGTGGCATACACTTGTAGCCAGTTCCTGCACCCAGGAACCTAGGTAAAATCGATCAATAGCCCTATGCCAGCCAGGACTATACACCAGTCTCGAAAACCAAAAGAGTGTCACTGCCTATCCCTGTGAGTACAAGGATGAATGGGTTTTGGCTTCACCCAGAAACAGTGCCATAGCTACTATACTCTAGAGCCATCATAATGGCCAGGCCTAACTTCTTAACCAACCTGAGAAGTCCTGCAATCCAAGTGTAAGAGCAGGCACTGCCCCCAGGGCACAAAGGCAAGTTCAATAGCAAAATTGTCTGCAGCCCTAAAGCCTGACTATGAAAGGTGCAGAATCTTGATGAGCACTATGCCAGGTCCGGTGTCTTCTGTGAAACGAGACGGATGGACTCGATTTTACTTAAGGTCCTTTTCAGTTCTGAAAACCCAGACTCCAAGACGTACTTTAATCCTGCCAATCAACAGCTCTGCAGCTTTTAAAGAACTTGCTCCAGTCTCTAAAGAACGCCAAGTTTAATCCCTTACAGGGATACGGGAGCTAATTTATAAAACACAACACTAGCTGCTATCAGGTTCCAGGTACAGCGCTGTGCGTTTCCTAAGCAACTGATAACGGCTTGATTTCTCCAAATGAGTACTAGGGAGATGGAGATAAGATGGGGGCAGACTTCAAAAAGAAAAACCAGTTAGCTATGATAAAACCCGTGTGTGTGTGGGAATGAATTATTAGGGTTGGGCGCTACCTGCCTTAGAAACTAGGTACTCACAAACTGGATGGGGGAGGGGACAGTGATGGCTGCGCAGCCTGATCAGGACACCCGCCCACTAGCTAGAGCGGTAGGCCTGGCACGGTCGCCTGGAGCTAGCAGCCACGGACGAATTGAGACTTCTGCGCCCGGTCGGGGCCCGGCCCGCAGCGGGATGGGCTCCAAGGCTGTACGGCGCCCGCGCGCGCGCCATCCCGCCGCCTGCGTTAGGCCCCGGAGGCCCACAGCGTAGGGCGGCTGGAGGCACCGCGCGCCCGCACTCGCTCGCCGTTGCTAATTTCCTCCATGGCCCTGACTGACATCTCCAACGGACCAGAAACACCCCTCTCCCCCGGCTACTTGCATCTGTCCCGCGACCGGTGCAGCGGCAGCCGCCACCCGAGCGGCTCGCGGCGGGAGGGACTGAGCCCGGAGCAGCCCACGGGGGCAGGGCCGCGTTGCTTACCCAGACTCCGCCGCGGCGGCGGACGGGCGGGCTTCTCCTTGCGGGAGGGGCGGGCTCCCGCGCTGCGCACAGCACGCGGCAGCGCCCGCTCACGCACCCGGCGGGCTGCTCTCGCGCGGCTTCCCGCGCCGGGCCCACGTGACCCAGCGGCTGGGGGAGCCAGCAGCACCCGGGCTGGGGTGCATGCATGCGTGCGTGCGTTGCGTGCGTACGTGCGCGCCTGCCGGAGTGGCCGGGCGGGGGGTCAGCCGGCGCTTCGGGCGCCTCTGCCACGGTCCCCAGTCGTGACTAGAGGCGGAAGTGTGGGGACAAGCCTGAGCGTCACCGGCTCCCCCACACGCCTCCGCGTGACCTGGGGACTTTCCCCCGGCGTGTGCAAAAGCACGGGTGCCCCCTCGGCCCTGGGTGGGGACGGGAAAGGATGCGCCCGCGTGTGGGGCGGGAGCGGGGTGAGGGCGCGGGGCAGGCGACCGCGCGCGGCGGGAGCCAGGGAAGGAGGCGGGCCGGGCGGGGCATGGCGGGGGAAGTGACTCAGGCCAGAGGCCGTCGGGCCCGCGCCAGGAGGGGTTCGGGGGGTGGGGAGGGCGCGGGGAACGGGCGACCCCGAGCGGACGAGCTTCAGGCGGGACGGGACGAGGGTGTCAGCGCCCCCAGAGCGTCCAGGGTGGAGCGCAGGGGCGGGTCCAACTGCGGGGCCCTGCGGGGCAGGGGTCTGATAACTGGGCAGAGGGCGAGCAGCATCCAGCCCCGGGGGAGTCGGGAGGATCCCAGTGGCGTCCAGCTGTGCAAACAGGAGGAGGGCCGAGGCGACCCAGGGGAGAGGGGCGAAGAGTGCTGCCCAAGCCGCCGCCCGGGCGCCCGCGTCGCTGCGGGCAGTGCCAGCCTCCTCGGCCCCGACGCAGAAACTTGTTGCAACCAACAGGCGACCGCGGGTGCCCCTAGCCGCCAGCGGCGGAGTGGGTGGGCGGGCGAGAGGGAGGGGAAGGCTGGCGGACGCCGCGGCGAACTGGTGGGCAGACCCGGAGTCGCCGCGTAAGCGGGGCCGGCTCAGTGCGGTGCGGCAGGCGCGGCTGTGCGGCAGCGGAAGTCCTTTGTTGCAGCGCAGTCCCTGGCAGAGCCGGAGTGTCTCGGCGCAGCCCAGCCGAGCGCCGCGCGCCGTCAACTGCAGCCCGCGGTCCTTCACCTCCGCTCGCCCGCCCCGCGGCCCCGCTGCCCGAAACTCCCGAAAACCTCCGCAGCCGCGCGTCCCTCCGCGCCCGGTGAGTATCTGCCAGTCGTCGGGGCGATTTGCGCAACTTTGACCGGGGCCGAGCCGCGGGCCTGGAGGAGTGCGTGGCCCGCGGCGGCGGCGGCGACCGGTGCGGGGGAGCCGGAGCGCGGAGGGCGCGCGGCGAGGATCCGGTGGCGGGGGACTGCTGAGCCGCCCTCCTGCTCGGTGCCGGCGGTCAGTCAGCCCGGTGCGCGCGGCCTCCCCGGGTCCGGGACGAATCCCCCTCTCCAGACGACTTCCTAAATTACTTCTTTTCCCTTTATTTTATTTTGTGGTGGGGGAGGGGAGGTGGAGGCGGGAGGCCGCGCTTGATTGACGGGCCCAGAGCGCGCTTCGCTAACTTCCAGCTGCGGCCGGGCGGCCGGTGGGAGGGGAGCGTCCCGGAGCCGGAGGCCGCAGACTTGGGCGCGCTCCGAGGGAGGAGGCGGCCGGGCCGCGCGGATTCCTGCTTCGCTCTTTCCCACCCCCTCTCGTCAGCACACACGCTTTTTGTTCAGGTCAAAAGTGGTAGGTCTGGGGGTGAGGGGGGATTTTTTCTCTGTGGACGAGATTTTTTTCCTCTCCCCCCCGAGTTCCGAGAAGAAAGTGCTTTTCGAAAGCCTCCAGTGGTGGGCGCTTATAAGTAGAAGTTCTGGGAGAGGCGGTGAGCGAGTTGGGTGGCGATCGGAGTCCTTGCGGCTGAAGCGTGCAGGCGTGGGTCTGAGCTCAGCCGCCGCTCCCAGGCTGCCTTTCCACCTGAGCCACCCGTCCACGTGATCGCGGGGGTTGACAAGACATTTTCCAACTCGGTCGCGTCAGGAACAGGTTAATGAAAGTCCTTGTTTTCCGGGGCTAGGGTATTTATATGTGTGCGATCGTGTTCCTAAATCGAGTGTCGCTGCGAAGGTACACGTAGATTCTCCACTGTTCAGAATGTATTTCCGTACAGTATGTGTCGCTGCCGCCACATTTTTCCCTTTGACACTGGAATCTACAAAGCGTTCCAAGCATTTTTTTTTTCATTTTTTTGAGACAAGGTCTGGCAAGGTAGCCCAGGATCGCTTCGACGTAATTCTTCTGCCTTAGGGAATCCTAAATTGTGGGTGATAGACATGAGCCTCCAAGCCTAGTTTTGTGTTCCGAAGACCACTTAGAATTAATTTCTTGAGCCGAAGTTCGAGGCACCCTGAAGCAGATTGGGGAAAATGATGTAGTTCTTAAGATAACGTTAAAGCAACCACGGTTTTTAAAAGGTGTAAGACAGGCTCTCTGGAACTTTGTCACCTCAAATGGATGTGATCTGGAGAGAAGTAGAGGACGGAGGTGCAGGAATCTGAACCCTGAATGATGGCTGGTCGTTCCCCGGAACCGTAAAACTTCCCCTTTGAACCACTTGCTGTTATCTCCTGAAGTCTCAGTAATACTGAATGGCATTAGGAACCACTCAGGGTTTCTTCCTCTTAAAGAAATAGATGGAAGTTAAGTAGGAAAGAGGTGAAATGCCTTTCCAGAGGTTAATAAGTGGAAATTCTACAGTACAGTGTTGGTTATAGCAACTTACACCCATTCTAACAGCAGTATTTCTCTATTTACACCAAAGCTTTTCAGGGTGTGGTTGTGCCTGCCTATATTCCCAGCACTTCCACAGGCTGGATCAGGAGTTGGAGCTAGCCTGGACCTGGCCTGCATAGCAAGATCCTTTAAAAAAAACAAAAACAAAACTCTGCTACAGAGATGGCTCTATGTTTAAGGGCACTTGCTTTTCTTCCAGAGGACCTGAGTTTGACTTCTAGCACCCATACATATTAGGCAGCTCACAACTGCATGCAGCTCCAATTCCAGGGAACTCGTGTGCACACACCCCTCTCCCCACATAAATACATAATTAGAAATAATTTTAAAAAGCAAAATCTCAGTTTTCATGATACTAAATTCCTCCAGTTTCTAACATCATGCTTACTGTTTTGAACCAGTGAAAGTGGTAGGGGCATCATTGTCAGAAAAGAGAACAAGAGAACCCATTTTGCATAAGCATAGCTTCTTGACCGTGTGTGTGTGTGTGTGTGTGTGTGTGTGTGTGTGTGTGTGTGTGTGTGTGTGATGTTCTGTAGACCAGACTAGCCTCAGAATTAATGGCATGTATTACCATGTTGACTGTTTTTTGTTTGTTTGTTTTTTAATTAGATTCTCTCAACTTTTGGTCCAGGACTGGCCTTAGCTTTCTATATTCCTGCTCCAACCACTCAACCACTGTTGGAATTAATAGGCCTGTGCCACCACACTAGGTTTTTGACCTCGTAGGTTTTGTTTTCTGAAAACAGGGTCTCACCTTGTAGCACTGACTGATTTACAACCCTAAACCAGGCTGGCCTGGAACTCTTAAGAGACGTGCCCACATCTACAATAGTAGGTTTAAAGGTTTGTGCTGCCAAGCCTGCTCATGGCCTTGTGTTTTGATTTCATAGTAGCTGCTAAATTTTTGTACCCTCTGCTTCTTCATTCTCCATGTTTGTCAGTTTCTGGTGCAATCAGGGTCCTTTTTCAAAGTGTCCCAAGTGTTCCCTGTAACACCATTTTTTATTTTCTAACATTCAGGAAAACATGTTGCTGCCCTTTTGGGGGGGGGTCTTCGTTAGCTAGGACAGCTGAAAGGGGAGGGGGAGAATGGGACATTTGTAATAGAAATGCTAAAAAATATTTTTTAGGCTGCAGTCTTTTGTCTTGGGGGTTGAATATGTGAAAAATCTGCTTCTGAGTTCACTTTGGTCTCTGGTGTTCTTTTGATAGTTTCTTGTGGCTTTATTAACTTGTGTCTACTTTTCCTTAAAGTGGGAATGCCTTTTCTTTCTTTTCTCTCTCTTTTTTTTTTTTTTTTTTTTTTACCTTTTCAAGACAGGGTTTCTCTTTTCTCTATGTAGCCCTGGAACTCAGCTCTGTAGACCAGGCTGGCCTGAAACTCAAGAGATCCACCTGCCTCTGCCTCCTGAGTGCTGGGTGGAATTCTATGCTCTTTATAATAATTCAGCCTATACTAAATTACATAAAATACAGAACTGGAAAGTTGTTCTGACTCCCACTCCCCAGAGATAGTCACTGTGAACAATCCATTCAGTGTTGTAAAACTATGAGGGCAGTATCTGATCATCTTGCTGCTGTGTGTGCCTCACTCTGGCCTGTTCCCTTCATGTTCTGTTTTCATAACTCAGATTGGTGAGAATTGCCAGGTAGAAGGAAGGGTTTTTGCATTGAGCTCGTGTCAAATCCTATGATTTGGTAACAGATGTGTAAGTTTTCATGCTTAATAGAGCTGCTGTTTTAGTTTAGTCCTCATGAAGTTTACCTTGGTGGGCTTCCTCATTCTTTGCAAATGTTGCAATCCATTATCTGATTAATTTATGCAGGCTAACCTCATTAAAACAAACCCTTCATGTGTAGAGAGCTTCCTAGCTTACCATAGGGAATGAGTGGGTATAATTGCCTCTAAAACCACTACCAGGGTATTGCCTTTTTGTTATGGTGTGGGTTCCTCTTGATCAGTATCCAAAGCTGCAAGAGAAACGTAATTGGGAAGAAATCCAAAAGGGGGGGCATTAGTGACGGTGTTGTTTTAGGTTACAGCGCAGAAAGGAATAACAGTTGCGGGACACACACAACACACACACACACACATGCTGGTCTGAATTTCACTCGAATTTGGCATCTCATATATTTAAGGTGGATGTCTTTAAGTATACTGATATTTTGTCCTGTGTAGTCACTGCAGAGTTAACCTGGTGTATTCAAGAAGGATGAGCTGTGAAGTTGGTTTTCTAATAAAGCCCCAAAACAATACATGCAAATTTAATCACAGTAGTTACTTGAGGGTGTTGAGGACATGCTTTTTTAAAACACTACCATGTGAATATAAATTGTTCTCAATCATATTTGAAGGCTGGAGGTATAGCTTAGTGGTAGAATACTTGCCTGTCATGCATGAGGCCCTAGATTCAACCCTCAGCACTGCAAAATATAATAATGAGTATTAAAAATTAAAGAATAGCAGAGTGTGGGGGTGAGTGACTCAGAAGGCAGAGGCAAGTGAATTTTCCATAGGTTCAAGGTCAGCCTGATATGCATAGTTCCAGGCCAGCCAAGGCTATGTAGTGAAACCCCCCCAAAAAAACACAAGCAAATAATAAATTACTAATTATATTTTCTTTTGGTTTTCTGTGTGAGATACATGCTATCCTTTTAAGAGCTAACTGAAGAGCTCCTTCCCACTTGAAATTGTCAGCAGCAGAGGTGGGATGGGTGGTCAGCAGACGGAAACAGAGAGGGGCATGGGGTGCATTCTGCTTGCCTGCAAGATAAGACAGTGCAAGAATGATAGGAGCTTTTACAATAAAGGAAAATGACTGTGGGAGACTTAGAATGTTCCAGAGGGGCACTTCACTTACTTTTTAATCATATCCAGAAAGTGTTGTCTGGGTTACAAAAACTGAAACACTGCATTTTTGAATCAAGAGTTAGTGTTTCAGCCCCGTTTTCTGTTTACAGGATGAGTTGTTAACTGCCACACCTGTTTTCTTCCCAAAATAAGGATAATTTAAAACCTATCTCAGGGTGTTGTGAGAATCGGTTGACTAATGTATGAAAAAGGCCCTGTAGATTGTCAACAACTATATAAGTTTCAGTGATAGCCAAAGCAAAAACTGATAAGCAAATTAAAACTTGCCTGCTTTAATATTTATTTCTTAAAAAAATCATTAAATGTATCAGTTAAATGTCAAGTAGCTACTAGAAGCTAGAGGTTTCAATCATGACTGACAGGAGACCTTGGTCTCAAGAGCCTTACACTAAAACAAGAATGACTGATACAACCTCCAGTTTGGATGACCCATCATTTGCAGCGCAGAAAAGAGGTGCCTGCCTCATTGTGGGTCAGAAGGGTTCCCCAAAGATGTGTGTGTAAAATAAGGAAAGCTTTCACTTTTCAAGTGTTTGGGTTGGGGAAGTCTTAAGAAATTAAAGGTTTATAAGTAGAATTATGCTTAAAATAGATATTTTTATTGGTTTTATTTCATTTATTTTAATTAAATAAACATTTGGAGTTTTGCCTGGTGTGGTAATACACACCTTTAATTCCAGCACTCAGGAGGCAGAAGCAGGCAGATTTCTGTAGACCTAGTGAGACCCTGTCTCCCCTCCATAATTTTGGTTAGAAGTAAGCAGAAGAAACCAGTTGAGCTGCAGAACTTTGTAAAACTTTCAGGGTCTCTGGAAGCAGGAAAATGACTGGTCACTGTGGGGAGCTGCCTGGCAGGATCTTCAGCAGCAGTCACTGAGTACTTAAGTTCTAAACTGAGCAGTCAGCTAGCAGCCTGCATCCAGTTGCTCACAGCTATAGCAGACAGTGCACAGAGCAAATAGTTTGGAATAAGTAGAGTCCTGTACCACAAACCCTAACAATACAAATGCCACGTGCTAAGGGGGACCAGCTTTGGCTTCTTTTAGGTCAGAGGCACCTACAGTGCCCTCTGGTGTTCAGGTCATGACTATACTGCCTCTAGGATAGGGGTTTAAAGTTGGAGGTATAAATAAATACCTTTCCTCTTGTACTGGAGAGAAAAGAATATTCAAAACTCCATTATTTTTCCCTCTGCCCTCTGAATGAATGCCTTTTCTGAGATCCAGTTGACAGAGATGGTTCATTTGTGTTGCTTGGTGTAACATTTATTATCCATTGTTCTGCCAAGAAGCCAAAGAAGGCAATTTGCTTGTCTACTATCATTGTACATAGGACCCCAAAGAATTAAATTATGTAGTGTTTCACTGAGTTTTTGTCTAGTTCACAGCCTGTGGACACCAGATCAGCATCCCTTTAAGAAGTGAAGCTGTTGGCTTGAAACACCAACAAACACCACCCAACAAACAAGCCACGATCTACAACTAAAGAGTGGCAGTGTGAGGGTGGCTGGAGTAAGTGTAGACAGTTCCTCCATTTCAGCAATGCTTAGTGATGAGGAGAAGCCAGGGGAGCTGTTAGTGACAGGAAGAGCCTGAGCCAGGACGCTGGAGACCCAGGTCTAACCCTGACAGCCACTGAAACTCCATGTGGCTGAGTATATGACTTAACCCCTGAGACTCAGCCTCCGTTTGCTTTCTCGTCTGCAGAACAGTAAGTTAACTTGATTTTTCATGGAATTTTATAAATTGTGTTCAGTGTGATGGCATTAACTTTTAAGAACTAGATTGCTCAAAACCCTGTGGTTCCTAGTGTCTACAAGAACCCTTTGCTGAGTGTGACCATCCTGCTTTGATGGTTGAGAGGCAACATACAGGGGGTGGAAAGGTTCCCCGGGACCTACCAAGCGGGTAGAACTGGTACCCATTATCTAGCAGTGCCTGTTTCCAGAACTTTTTTACCTCCCTTTCATTTTGACAAACATGTGCTAAGTGCCAACCATGTGGGAAGACTGTGCTGGGCACAAGAACAGTAAGGCCTGCAAGCGTGTCCCTGTCCTCGAGGGCTCGGTGTAGTGGGCACTACTGTACCATACTGCTCCTTAGATCAGTGAGTGCTAATGACACGAGCAGTACCACAGCATTGTTAAGATTAATATGGGGCATGTGGTGGCTTTAGCAGACTTTTGGGTGTAAGCACGAAACTGAGCCACCATTTATAGCATTGTTTCTATGGGAATGTGTGTTTCAGGTTCCAAATAACTTATTTTTAAGTTTTGGAACATGATCCCATTATAAATTCAGAACTTCCTGTACTAAGTACTGAATTTAATAGCTAGCCAGAATGCCTGGTTTTAGATAGTGAATATTTTTTTTCATTCTCTCTTATGTAGCTCATAGTAAGACGTTTTTATCTTTAGGAATATCTACAACTGGTTTTAAACAGAACCTAAATTTTTTTGTTTCTATTAGTAGTTGGGCTGTGTAGTCTGAAATATGGCATTTGAGGAAGAGTGTGTGTCTGTGTGTCTTTCTCTGTCCCTATGGACCTCTGACTGTGTGGAACTGCTGGGATTAAAGGTGTGCACCACCCCTGCTGTATGTGCATATTTACAGACCCTTATGTAACCAGGTGGAAACTGTTATTTACCATTTAAGAGATTTAGCCATAGACTAAGTCGTTCCTGAGATTTTACTATGTCAGTGAGGAAGTCGCTGAAAATAGCTTCTGCGGCGCTGGGGGTGTAGCTCAGTGACAGAGTGCTTACATTTGGGAAGCCTGGATTCGGTCCCAAGCACTTCGTAAACCAGGCATGGTGGTGGAGGCCTATGATTCCAGAAGGAGGAGGAACAGAAGTTTAAGGTCATCCTTTAATACAAATGGAGTTTGATGCCAGGCTAGGCTACATGAGACCCTGTCTTAACAAAAAAACAAAAAGCTGTATAGCATATTTAGGGAACATATCAATAAACACAGATAAAGCCACATTGCACCTATCATCCAGTGAGGCTTGTCACTTGTACAGTAGCACCTGCTGAATTCAGGACTCTAACCCAGTCTTCACCACACTAGATTAGTGCCAAGGAAGTTTTAGTACCATCTGAGGTATATAGGAGTCCTTGTCTGTAGTCCCAGTACCTGGTCTACCACAGATAACTATATCCTGATACAATGTGTAGTTGTCATAGGTGTTTGCTTATAAATAAGTAAGATTCTTGGGCACAGATTAAGATCTATGCTCTGTAGGTTTATGACTATCTGAATTGCTTAATACAGTTGGTGTGTTTTGTGATCACTTTTTGACTTTTAAAATAAACTGGTAAACATTTTCAAAGTATTTTTTAATTGTGGCATAAGATATATTGGGTCGCTGTCTCCTTGTTGCTGGAGTGCTTTCCTCCTTTGAATACAAGTTGAGGGTTTATGTTCTGTCCCAGCCCAACTGCCAGCTGTGATAAATGTGATCTTCCAGTGATAGCTGGTAACACAAACAAATACAGTCACAGATTCTAATCACAAAAACAGAGCAGGTGAGATAGGACTCTGTTTATGTAAGCAAACTTCTTGATAAGCTACGTGATGTAAAGCTTACCATATTTTGGTGACATTTTTGTTGGTTTTGAGACTGTGTAGCCAAGACTGGTCTGGAATTCACAGATTTCCCCATGTGCCTCCCAGTGCTGGGATTAAAGCCACACCCAGGAACATTTCCTTTAGATGTTTATTTTATTTTGTATGTATGAGTATTTTCTCTATATCTGTGTTTGTGCACCACGTGTGTGCCTGGTGCCCACTGGGGTCTAAGAAGGCATCAGATCCTTTGGGGCTGGAGTTACGCAGGCAAGTTGTGAGCCACCATGTGAGAGCTAGGAATTGTTCCTAGGTCCTCTCTCTGTAAGAGCAACAAGTGCTCTTAACCATGGAGCCTTCTCCAACATTTTTTAGTTATAAGTAAAAAATTTAGTTGAAAAGAAAGCTAATTTTTTGGAATTCGAATGAAAGTAAATGCTTTATACCATTGGAGGTGGGGTAGGGGTTTGAGATAGCAGTTTCTCTGTGTAGCCTGGCTATCCTGGAACTCACTATAGATCATACCATTCAGAGATCCTCCTGGGGCTGGAGAGATGGCTCAGTGGTTAAGAGCACTGACTACCCTTCCAGGGGACCCAGGTTCAATTCCCAGCACCCACATGGCAGCTCACAACTGTCTGTAACTCCAGTTCCAGGAGGGTTCACACAGACATACATTCAGGAAAAATATCAGTGTGCACAGAGATCCTCCTTTCTCTGCCTCACAAGTGCTTGAAGGAATGTGCCACCACACCCAGCTGGGTTTTTGTTTGGTTTGGTTTTTTTTTTTTTAAGTTTTTTGTTTTTTTGGTTTTGGTTTTTTGAGACAGGGTTTCTCTGTGGCTTTGGAGGAAACTCACAGACATCCGCCTGCCTCTGCCTCCCGAGTGCTGGGATTAAAGGTGTGCACCACCACCACCGCCCAGCTCACCAAGCTGTTTTATATAAGTGTAATGCAAAACTTAACCTTAAAGAGCTAAGCTAAAGTCTTTTAAGAATTTAGATCCTCCCCATCCCCCACTCTGGGTAAAATCAATCTTACCCAATAGATAATAAAGTTGTATAGAAAATAATTACATTGCTTAAATGATAATTGTATGTCAGCCTGGAAACTGTAGAGGTAGCACTGAAAATTGGCCTAGCCCTTCTTCAGCATCTCACAGTAGGATGGGAGAGAGGAGGATGCCACACACACGGAGACAGCGGGGTGGGATTTACTCTGGCATTTGGACACAGTGCTTGTTCTCACCACAGCATGCTGCCTTCTATAGAGTGACACTTCTTAACTGCATACTGCGAGAAATCGCTCGTCCAGGGAAGAAAACTTCTCCTGATGTCCTTATGCTTTGGGATACCCGTGTTGCTGATCTCAGCACTACATACAGTTACTGATTTATTGAGTGAAAAAAAGGTTCATTGAAGTGCTTTCAACGCTGTACTAATTGGTATAGTGCTTGTTTAGGTTAATGCAAAATAATGGATTTTAAGTAATTGAATGTATGTAGTTGGCTTTAGTGGTGGAATCGCTGTTTTTCATTTAGATAAGAAAGGATCTTGGGATTTTTTGACTGTGTCATTTGGCTCTTACTTGGAAGGAAGTTTAAAGTTATCTAGTTAGATTTACCTCCTGGTGCTCAAATAAACATCATCACCATTACAAGCACAGCCAGTATTGTTTCTGTTAATTACTAGGTGGCAAACGCCACATTTTACACGTTAGTTGTGTGATTCCTTGTGTGTGTGTTATTTGAGTCCCACCTTGGTACGGGCGACTGGTAGTAAACAGGCGACAGAATGGGAGAGCAGGACCAGGCCCGGCTCTGTCTGCCGGGCTCAGCCTCACCCTCTGGATGTTGGCATCTCTAGGTTCCACCCTGGTTTGTTTCAGTTTCCAACAACTGTTTAGAAAGTCTTTTTTAGAGCTATTGGTCATCTTTGCTTCTTTCTCTTTATTTTTCATTAACAATTTCTGGATATCATATAGTGAGGATGACTAGTGACCTCAAAATGTCACCCCACTTAAAATAGGCGTGGGTAATGTTTTTTCAACCTTTTGCATTCAGTCGTATTATTGTATAGATTTGTTTTTATTTAATTCTAATGGTAACAGTTTTGTTTCTGCACCTTCATTTGCTGTCTTCATATATCTATATATCTATATGTATATGTTTTTGTTTTGTTTTTTCGAGACAGGGTTTCTTTGTATTGTTTTGGAGGTTGTCTTGGAACTAGCTCTGTAGACCAGGCTGGCCTCGAACTCACAGAGATCCGCCTGCCTCTGTCTCCGGAGTGCTGGGATTAAAGGCGTGCGCCACCAACACCTGGCTATTCTTTCTTAAACAATTTATTTTAATGTTCATTGGTGTTTTGCCTGCATGTTTGTCTGTGTGAAAGTGTCAGAAGTGCTGGAACTGGAGTTACAGACAGGTGTGAGCTGCCATGTGGGTGCTGGGAACTGAACCCAGACCCTCTGGAAGAGCAGCCAGTGCTCTTAACCACTGAGCCATATCTCTAGCCCCTAAGAGGGGGGGGGATATAAAAATAGATACCTTTTTCCCAAATTCACTGCTTCTTTTCCCCCGTGTACATGATGAACAATAAAAGATGTATTCTGCCATTTCTCCATAATTCAAGAAAAGAGAAAAATACCAAACAATTGGTGTAAGTCCTATATAACCTAATAAAGTTTGTTTCCTATTTTCTCAGACAGGGTCTCACTGTATATCCAGGTGGGCCTGGAACTCAAAGAGATCTGCTTGCCTTACCTCCCAAATTCTGGGAGTAAAGACTTTTGCCACCAAATCCAGCAGATTTTTTGATAGAATTTTGTGTTTATTTAAAAAAAAAGCTTGTTTAGTTTGTGTGTATTGGTCTTTTGCCTGCATGTATGTTTGTGCACCATATGTGTGCAGTGCTCATGAGATTTAAAAAGGGCATTCTAGCCCCAGCAACTGGAGTTACAAATGGTGGTTAGCTGCCATGTAGGAACACTCTTAACCACTAAGCCATTCTCCAGCCCTAGTAAATTTTTCTCTGGAAAATTTCAAGCAAGTAAAAAAAAAAAAAACTCTTAAGGTCCCTGCTTTATTTCATAGCCTGTTTTGTATTATCTGTAGCCTTCATTCCTTCCTCATTTGTTTTGAAGGTTATCTCAAATATGTCATTTCATCTGTAAGTACATCAGTACATTAATCTAAAAGATAAGGGTTTTTAGCCCGATGTGATGGTTCACGTGTGTAATTCTGTATTCAGGAGGCTGAATTAGGATTCTGAGTCCGAGGTTAGACTGGGCTATACAGGGATAGTTCCAGGTTCTCCCAGCTGTGCAATAGAACCCTGTCTTAAAAACCCAAGGTAGAGGGCTAGAGAGATGGCTCAGCAGTTAAACACTTAGTGCTCTTGCAGATAACCCTGGTTGGGTTCCCAGTATTCACAGGTACTTTCATCTGACTGTAACTCCAGATCTAATGCCTTCTCTGATTTCCACAGTCGTGTGTGTGTGTGTGTGTGTGTAAAATAATTTTAAACCCCCAGAGTAAATTTGAAAAAGGAGGGCTTTTTAGCACATAAATGAGCAACAGTTTCTTAATATCAAATCATTCAAAAGGCTTTTAATGCTCTACAATCAAATTATTTACTTTTGTTGTTTGTATCTTAATGTCTGTCCCCTTTCAAATTTAGTATGAGTTTTCCCTCTAGGATGAAGACAGTTTTTGTGTGTGCATGTTCATTTATAAAGGCGTTGTTCCTCAGTGCTGTTTACCTTGTTTTTGAGACAGGGTTTCTCATTGGCTTGGAACTTCACAAGTAAGGTAGCAGGCTGACCTCCCAGCAAGTCTTGAGGGTGCAGAGGTATACCCCATGCCCAGGTTTTTAAAGACATGGTTTCTGGGAGTCCTCATGCTTCCTTTTTTTGTTTGCTTGATTGTTTGTGTACAAGATCTCACTATGTAGTCTTGGCTGGCATAGAGCTTACTGTGTAGAGCAGGCTGGTCTGGAATTCATAGAGATCTGCCTGCCTCTGCCTTTTTTTTGTTTTTCAAGACAGGATTTCTCTATTGTTTAGGAGACTGTCCTGGAATTCGCTCTGTAATCCAGGCTGGCCTGGAACTCACAGTGACCCGCCTGCCTCTGCCTCCAGAGTGCTGGGATTAAAGGCATGCACCACCATGCCTAGCCAAATACGCACACACACTTGTGTGTGAATAATTTATGTATAAACACATCTGTGCATGGCAAAGATGGTATAGTAGGGAATCCAGATGTTTAACAGGCTCCAGGATGACTCTTTATTCTAGCTGTAGGTGGCAAAGACGTTATTATGGCAGGGAATCCAGATGTTTAAATAGGAATGGAAGAGGGTCACCATCATCTCAGGTATGAGGAACAGCTTTTTGCCAGATTTCTTAATTCCACCTGTGCCCAGGGGCCCCTTCCCCACGGCCTTGGCTTTCAGCTCCTCCAGTTTCTTCTGCTCCTCCTTTTGTTTCTGCTTGAAAGCCTTATCTTCCTCGCCCATCTCCTTGGCCTGTTTCTTGGGCTGTTTCAGGGGCTTCTTTTTGCCACCTTCACAGCCTGACATGGCGCCCACAGACAGCCCCTTACCAGACCCTGAGCCTAAGCCGGAAAACCTTTGCTTTTGGTGCCTTTTGTTTAATATGAGAAAACTGAATAAATGGCTAGAATATTTTCATCTTCAGATTTAAAAATGATTTAAGCATATTTCTGATTTTGCTTCATTGGTATAGAAAAACTATACTTTGATTGAATAGCAACATTATGCAAGTCAAAAATCATGCTAAAAGTGTCCTTCTTTAAAAGTGCCTTTCTGATATCTGACTGTCATATTTTTGTTTTGCATAGGTCTAATTAATAGAAGATGGCAAAGCCCAGTCACAGCAGCTATGTCCTTCAGCAGCTAAACAACCAAAGAGAATGGGGTTTTCTCTGTGACTGCTGTATTGCTATTGACGACATTTACTTCCAAGCACACAAAGCAGTCTTAGCTGCCTGTAGCTCCTATTTTAGAATGTTTTTCATGAACCATCAACATAGTACTGCACAACTGAATCTCAGCAACATGAAAATAAGTGCTGAGTGTTTTGATCTCATTTTGCAGTTCATGTATCTGGGGAAGATCATGACTGCTCCTTCCAGTTTCGAGCAGTTTAAAGTGGCAATGAACTACCTACAGCTCTACAATGTTCCTGACTGCTTAGAAGATATACAGGATGCAGACTGTTCTAGTTCAAAATGTTCGTCGTCTGCTTCCAGCAAACAGAACAGCAAGATGATTTTTGGGGTAAGAATGTATGAAGACACAGTGGCTAGAAATGGCAGTGAAGCCAACCGGTGGTGTGCAGAGCCCAGTTCAACGGTGAATACCCCACACAATAGAGAGCCTGATGAAGAATCTTTACAGTTAGCTAATTTTCCTGAGCCACTATTCGATGTGTGCAAAAAAAGCTCTGTGTCCAAATTATCTGCTCCAAAAGAACGTGTGTCACGACGCTTTGGACGGAGTTTTACCTGTGATAGTTGTGGATTTGGCTTCAGCTGTGAAAAATTACTAGATGAACATGTGCTGACCTGCACTAACCGACATTCATACCAAAACACAGCAAGAGCTTACCACCGGATAGTAGATATTAGAGATGGAAAAGATAGTAACATCAAAGCTGAGCTTGGTGAAAAGGATTCTTCCAAAACATTTTCTGCACAGACAGACAAATACAGAGAAGACGCCAGCCAGGCGCCTGGTGATTCAGCTTTGACCACTGCAAACAGAAAAAGCACAGTAGAGTCTGGAATGGCTGGTGAAGAAAAAAGTAGAGCTGCTGAGACGAAAAGAATTATTATCAAGATGGAACCAGAAGATATTCCTACAGATGAGATGAAAGACTTCAACATTATTAAAGTTACTGATAAAGACTGCAACGAGTCCACTGACAATGATGAATTAGAAGATGAACCTGAAGAGCCATTTTACAGATACTATGTTGAGGAAGATGTCGGCATTAAAAAGAGTGGTAGGAAGACCCTAAAACCTCGGATGTCTGTAAGTGTGGATGAAAGAAGTGGTTTAGAAAGCATGAGACCCCCTAACAATAGCAGTCCAATCCAGGAGGATGCTGAAAATGCGTCTTGTGAGCTGTGTGGGCTCACGATAACTGAGGAGGACCTGTCTTCTCATTACTTAGCCAAACACATTGAAAATATCTGTGCATGTGGTAAATGTGGACAGATACTTGTCAAGGGCAGACAGCTTCAGGAACACGCTCAGAGATGTGGAGAACCTCAGGATCTGACGATGAATGGGCTGGGAAATGCTGACGAGAAAATGGACATGGAGGAGAACCCTGATGAGCAGTCTGAGATAAGGGACATGTTTGTTGAAATGCTAGATGATTTCAGGGACAATCATTACCAAATAAACAGTATCCAGAAAAAGCAGTTATTTAAACATTCTGCCTGTCCTTTTCGGTGTCCCAATTGTGGCCAGCGTTTTGAAACTGAAAATTTAGTGGTGGAACATATGTCTAGCTGCCTAGACCAGGATATGTTTAAGAGTGCCATCATGGAAGAAAATGAAAGAGATCACAGACGGAAACATTTTTGTAACCTGTGCGGAAAAGGCTTTTATCAGCGGTGTCATTTGAGAGAGCACTATACTGTTCATACTAAGGAAAAGCAGTTTGTTTGTCAGACATGTGGAAAGCAGTTTTTAAGAGAGCGCCAGTTGCGTCTGCACAATGATATGCACAAAGGCATGGCCAGGTATGTCTGTTCCATTTGTGATCAAGGAAACTTCCGAAAACATGACCATGTACGGCATATGATTTCTCATTTATCCGCTGGTGAGACTATATGCCAGGTCTGCTTTCAGATATTCCCAAACAATGAACAGCTGGAGCAGCATATGGATGTTCACCTGTACACGTGTGGAATTTGTGGAGCAAAGTTTAATTTGAGGAAAGATATGAGATCACACTATAATGCCAAGCATTTGAAAAGAACCTGAGGGGCTTTCTACTGCACAAATGTCTAGTTGATAGGCAGAACACCAAAGCAAAAGGATATGAGCTATTTAGACACTGATTTTATAAGAAGTGTTGGGAAAATTTTTCAAGGCCCTTTTACTTTAACATTTTTGTGTAGGACCTTAAGTATATTTTAGGCATTACATGTTTATCATTTTTGATGTTTCCAAGAGCATTCTTTGTTCATAGTTTTCTTAACTACCCTTAAAATTACTTTTCAATGTAGATTGTAAGTGGCTATTATCCCTTCAATGACTATGAAACTATTTTTTTTAATCAGTAAGGTAATAATTTCACTATTTCTATGTACTTTCATTTTATATTTTAAGGTTATCCTATGAAATTTTAAACCTAAGATCATTGACCATTCCTGCTTAAATTTTTAAAGAATTTTTAAATAATTATTTAAAACTATCCTATTCATTTTTTGCCTCTTTTTTGGTTTTGCTTCTTGGGTGTTTTTGCTTTTGGCTTTTTTTTTTTTTTTTTTTTTTTTTGGCTTTTTGGCTTTTTGGCTTGTTTGTCAGTTGTATAGTGGATGGCTACTGTTCACTCCCTTATCAATGAAATCCATATTCTTAAATTGACAAACTTAGGCAAGTGAGGTGCACTGGATCTAACCTTCAAGGTGGACATGGGCTCAATCTTGGCCTAAGATTGATGGACCTAAGGAAATTCCTATAAATGAACATTTCCTATAATTGATAAAATGTTATCATTTAATAATCACATTTAAAACTTATATTAAGTGTAAATCCCAATGACTTTCCCTCACTTGAGAAATTAGTGGGGATAAGCCATTTTGTTTTGTGATACTGAATTTAACTATGATAGTTAATTAAAAAGACATCTTGTATTCATTAAAATATTTTAATTTAAAAATATTCTGATTTCTAAAGTGTGTTAGTTTATCAATTATATTGTTTATAAATAGACTTTAATAGCTCTTTAGGAATATGACATCTAAGGAAAAATGATTTTTCATTTTTAAAATTACTTTGGAACTGAGATTTGAAAAAGCTGCCATGTATATTGATAAATCTAATAAAATAAAGAAATCAATTATAAATCTGGTTGTTCTATAAAAGTAGAGTGCACAAAAGTGTGTTGTGTTTACACTAAGATTTGGAGGAGGTGTGTTGTGGCAAATTGCAGTTTATTGCTATGCTTTATAATTTTCTGTAAAGGATACAAGATTTGAGGACTATAAAATAAATCACAGCATAAAAATGGAAACAGCTTCTACTTGTCAGGTAAAGTAGTCATATTGTTAGTTGTTTTGGACAGGGCCTACCTATACTATATCAGTTACATGTGAATAAACACTGGCAAAAAAAACCCACCAATAAACACATCTACTGAATAGAATGCCTTTTAATGTGAATTACTAGGAACACCCTTATAGTGAGAGGGATTTTAGTTAATATTTATATTTAAAAGTATGGCTTTGATCACAGATAGTAGTTTAAATGCATTGCTCTTTTTTGCTCTTGATAGCTTTAAGATATGCAAATCATATTTTCACATGCTATTTGCATAAAAGTACAAGTTGCCAAGAAAACCGAGAGATGTTGGCTAGTGCAGGATTAGTGGAAAGTACTAGAGCACAGTATGAACAAAGATTGATGGGCATGTGTTGAAATGTTACTGAGGACAGGACAGTGCAGGAACCAAGACATTAACCCTGACCATGAGAAGAGGCACAAAAACATATGAAATCTTGGGAGTTTTTTCCAAGACCACATAGTTAACAGAAAACGCTGGAAAAGTCAGTCATTTTAAAATGTCTTAGATGTAATAGTTTAATAAGTACTTAAAACTCAAGAGAAGGTACAAAATGCATATGTAGATTACTAGTAAGCACCTCATAAATGTTCTAACAAAGCCAAACATCAGAGAGTAGTGTAAAGGAAGACAAACCAAAGAAAATTATCAAGTTATACAGTATCTGAGGGGACCTAATTTGGGGGTTGGGGAGGTCACTTTTCCCTGTCAGAATTTGGGTTGCAAAGGCTTTCCCACAGTTAAAGACATTTTTAAAATATTCCCCTCCTTGAAGAAAGAATCCTCTTTTTCATGAGCCAGAGAGGTTTGATTTAATGTTTTAGTGTGAGCTAACAACTACCAAATTAGCAAGCAAACATAATCTAAGTTATCCAACTGACAGTTTCAAGAAGCCATGTTTGATGATATTTTCTATTTCATACCATCAAGTATGCATGTTTTGGGGGGAAATTAAGGTACAGGATAGCACAGGTTTCTCCAAGTAGAATGTACAATTATATTTTAACAAGACTGGCTTCAGGTAAAAATTAAGTAGCTTGGGCTGCAGAGATGGCTCAGTGGTTAAGAGCACTGAATGCCCTTTATAGGTCCTGAGTTCAGTTCTCAGCACCCACATGGCCACTCACACCATCTGTAGCAAGATCTGGTGCCCTCTTCTGGCGTGCAGGCATACATGCAGACAACCCTGTATACATAACAAATCTTTTTAAAAAGAAAGAAAACAAAAGTTACTTGTAAAACTAATGGGGATGAAAAGCACCCACCTCTTCTGCCTCCAGCCTCTCCCGCCTTCCTTGGACTGTGAGGACAATGACTCAAGGCTGGGATATTTGCCTGCTGCTTCTGCCTTTGGCAGTTCACACATTTAGGGTCCAGATTTTTCAGATCTGTAGAGGAGAAGAGAAACTAGAGAAGAATAGCATCTTCCCTGCTCTATTAATCACACTTCTCATTTGAAGTCCCATTGCTGGGATTTCTTAGTAAACAATCTGACTAGATTTTTTTTCCCCCTGGCACTCCAGATCAAACCCAGAGCCTTGACATGCTAGGCAGCCACTCTGCCTGAGCTGTCAATGGAGTTTCTCTTTTGGAAACAGCAAAAAAATTCCGGGAGAAATAATCCATTTCTAACAAGGTTGACACTACAGTGTGGATCTATGGTTTTTCATAAAGACTAAACCTCAGGACTTAATAGAGTAGAACCAAGGCAACAAAAGACTAGAACTCAATTGGATTTAATCCCTCCCCCTCCATTTTTCCCCCTCGTAGCCCAAGCCGGCTCACCCAGGCAGGCCTCAAGACCATGCTGCTGCTCTGCCTCAGCCTCCTGGGTTCAGGAGTTACAGGTGTGAGCTAAAGCTTTAGTTCAGCATCTCGTGTCCTTTCAGGTTCTTCCCTTTTTAGTCAGGGTCTTGCTTAGTCTCCATTCTTGTAGTGTTTCATACCCAGCAAAATTCCCATATTTTTTAAGTGAAAATTTTCAGAGAAATGACCCACATGAGTAACATGGTACATAGCAAATGTTTAATTAATATAAGGCAATGAACAATTTGACTCTAAGAAAAATATTAAATGAGAAGGATTCTAGAGGGTACTCATAAAAGAATTAAGCTGCTAGTCAGTGGTGGTGCATGCCTTTAATTCCAGCACTTGGGAGACAGAGGCAGGTTGTTGAAAAAGAGTCATACTTCCCCCCCCCCATTGTTCCGTTTTGATCAGTTCCTCAACTTTGTTCACCATCCCCCCCCCCCCCCCGCCCAATAAGTGCTTCCCAAGGATAAAATGCCCGTTCTCTCCTGCTTACTAGGATTGCAGAGTAGCAGAAATTGAGGTGGGGCATGTTTTTCTAGAACCCTGTCCTCGGTGCTTAATAGCTCAGCTCAGTAAACTAGGTGTGATAATAGGGACACTAAGAAACTAACACAAGTGAAGCCATCCTCTGTGTTAAGAATTTGATGTTTACATCCCAGTTTAGGAAACCCACAGCTTGCCCATAGTAGGGATGGCTCCCTATAGATCATCCATTTCTTCAGCACTCTGTATTCCTCATCCCCTTTGAGGTAAGTCTACTAATTTTCTAGAATGGGAACAAATGTCCAAAGATTATTTTTCCTAAACCACACAAACTGTATATATTAGACATGGAATTTGAACTCAGTCTTTGACTAAGGTTACATTCTTGTACTTAATCATGAAGACACATGTCCCATCTACAAAGAAGTGCCTTTTCAGCATAGGACACACATGACAAAGATCATGTGAGGCTGTGCTCCTTGGTCATCTGTCATCTGTGGTGCTTGGTAAGGTGGCTGGTAACAGTGGGTACTTAAGAACAACCTGAAGTAAGAATACAAAAGTAGAAAGCAGGACTTGATTTGAATGTGTCATTCAGAATGTTTTGATTTTGCTTCATTTAAACGTAAAACATTTAGTGGCATAGTTAGTTATTTGAGGGTCCAATAGTCAGTTGAAAGGTAACTTGAATTCGCATTGCATGTTTGTCCTGGGCTTTGTTTTGGTCTCTCCACCAGCCTCTGTTTGCTTGTATTGGTCGTGGAACTAGTAAATTGAAGAAGTCAGATTATTTAAGCAAATCTCCCCAGAAAAAAACAATGTAACAATAACCAGTTTCTTTTTTGCTTTTTTTGGGGGGAGGGGTTCAAGACTGGGTTACTCTGTGGCTTTGGAGGCTGTCCTGGAACTAGCTAGCTCTTGTAGACCAGGCTGGCCTTGAACTCACAGAGATCTGCCTGCCTCTGCCTCCCGAGTGCTGGGATTACCTCTTTTTTGCTTTAATAGAGGTGGATAAGAAACTCACTATTCCTTTGGCCAGCGAACAGATTACCCTCCCTCACTGGTAGAGTGTGGTTGTTTTATTAAAGGGATCTACTTAAAAACAAAAGTTGGTTACTCTAACATTGCATAATTCCATTTGTGGAAATATCTATAGATTTCTAGGTAAGCTCAAAGGCAGTCTTAGAAAAGAAATGGAAGATGAGCCCAGGAGGTCACAGCTTCAAACCACACCAGTCTAGCAGCACTCAAAACGTTAATGTTTTAAGGAGGACAGTAAGATTCTGACCTTTGCAGCTATTATTTAATGTCTATACAACAGATTCTATGCTAAAGCTACAACTTTAATAATTTGGCTACCATATGTCGATGATGTTTTTGAAATAAAAGAATGAAATGGAGATTGTTCTGTGACCAGTATAGTCATTTAAATGGCCCTGCTCCTCACTGCTGTCTATCAAACTCTAGGACACATTATTTGGCGATGGGTTTAGTCTCAAAAACAGATGAAATTTATCTCTTTATATGTTTATATTCTGGCAAAGGCAAAAAGAGAAGGATTTTAGTGTTTCTATCTGCCAGTGACAGTTGGTAAATAGAAACTAACCAGATGACAATAACAACTTGTAGGTCCATACTGATTTTGAACCAATTTATTACTAACATGCACATATGAACACATACATAGTTGAAGTTAGCATTGAGTTTAAATCTTTAACTTTCTTATGATAGTCAAGAGAGCCAAATCATTGAGGCAAATCAGTAATGAGAGATTGTCTTTGTATCAAACCCCACACAGATTATTGGAAGGCAGAAGGGCATTAAAACTGAAAGGAGATATGAAGATTACAATACTTGGTTTCTTCTAATGGATCAATATGCTAATTGAGCTAAGTACAAAATCATAGGAAATGCTAGCACCTGAGAAAGGTGACAAAAGACATTTTGAAGCCAAGAATATTAAGTTCATGTAAGAAAAATTTGCATTAAAAAAAAGCTGGTTATGATAGCACATACCTTTAATTCCAGCACTCAGGAGGCAGAGGCAGATGGACCTCTGAGTTCAAGGACAGCCTGATCTACAGAGCAAGTTCTAGGACAGCCAGGGCTATACAAAGAAACCCTGTCTCAAAAAAAAAAAAAAAAAACAAAAGAGAAAATTGCATAGTAGTCTGTAATGACCTATTTGAAAAAGGACTAGAGTTAAACATACAGCTTTTAAGCCAGACTTAAAACATTTGCTTTGCTTTTATTATGCTTAAACCAATAGTTTATACCTGCTTACTCACTCAGTCAAGTGAATAGACAGAGCTAGGGTTCTGTTTTATTTTGTTTTGAAGATGGGGTCTCATGTAGCCAGTCTGGCCTTAACCAGGGTGATCCTCCTGCCTCCACTCCCAACTGTCATATCACTGTGCACAGCTTACAGTGCTGTTTCTGGTTAAACAAATATAGGCACCCAGATTATAGAAGTCACCTTTTCCTTCAAATGCTTATGTTCCCTAGTATGAGAAAGATATTTTTAAGGGACTAATTTTTTTTAAAGGATAATAGTATTAGGGCAAAACATTTCCTACAAAAATAACACTTTGCCCAATACCTGGGGGTGGATTAGGAAAGTTAGAAACCCCGAACTGACTCTTCACAGCCATGTTTGTACTTGGTTTTCATTTGCAAAGCATACGCATGATATTTGAATAAAGTAGTGTTAGTGTGATGGCTGAAGACTAAAACCATGAACTTTCAGATTCATTACATCTGTGTTTCAGTCAGATAGTTTTCATTAGCAAACACATTGTAAAACTATCCCATTTGAAGGGAAGTGCCCCTTGCTTAACTCCCCTTCCCCTGATACCCCGTCTTGTCTTAGGTGACATATTCATGTCGGCAGCCATGTTCACTTAGACCATACGAGAACAAAACTAAAAGGTGCCCTGGATTTGAACACTTACACCAGCGATAATAGTTTATAAGTAAGTTGGGGTTCTAGGAGCTATTCTCTCGCTCCTGCTCTGTCCTTCAACAGTGTGCCAAAGCTGACTACTCTGACCTAAGCATGATGTCTTGTTGAGCAGTTGCCTTGTGATGTTATTTTTCTTGAGTTTTGTCTTTTTCTGTGTGGCAGTGGTGAAATAGGGCCTTCTAAGCCTCTGGAGAAGTGACAGATGTGGCTCTGGAGAGGACAAGGGGAAGAATCATTCTTCAACAGATAATCTTTAAGTGCAGACCCAGGAAATCAGATCTGACGTGGCACCATCTTTTCTGTCTTCCTGACAAACGCCGTCAGCCCCAAAGTTCCAGTTGCAAAAAGCCAAGAAAACTCAATAAAGATCACTTTGGAATCACTTTGTTGTAACAAAATTGATTCAGTGACTTCTCCTAGTACTTACGGAAAATCTAAGGAAAAGTGACTGTAAAAGTCATGTGACTTCAGTGATTAAGTTTATGCCATGTATCTTCACAGTTCCCTTCTAGAATAAAGGGCTTGCTAGGCATTGTAAATGCACTATAAAGGGAGATAATTACATATTTCCATAAACACATCATTCTAAACTCAAAACAGAATTATAACATATTGTGAAATGTAGTTAAGCAATTTAAAAGAATATTAACAATATCTGTAGCATGTAAGTAAAAAGAAATGGCATAGAAAAGGAAAATCTAAGACCAAATCTTTAACAAGATAATGTAGCTATTAGGGAAATGTAACACTAGCTTCCTTTCTCGCTGTGTACCAGTCACATGCTTGCTTATGAATATGAGCGAAGCTTCTTTCAAAGTCTCCTGAACAGAAGAACATTATTCAGTAGGGGTAGATTCCCACAAACCATGCACTATTTTCTCCTGAACTTAGCAATATGGTCCCATAATATAGAATGAATTTTTGTTATTCTCAGAACTAATGTATAGTGTCAAGCTCAGCTTCAAATTTCAAAATAAAATGGAACACTAAATAAACTGATAATGTCTGTATAAAACTTTTCCTGAGGTAAAATTTAGTGATGTTTGAATCTGGTTATGACTACAAATGCTTTTGCTACACATACAGTCCTTAACCATATGAATCTTATGACCGTATTATTTCCTGATTTGTAAATATACTTTTTTTACTTTTTGTTAACGATGTGACTAATTCCTTATTGCTGCTTCATGTGTGTGTGTGATTTCAAATGTTTAAATGCTTACTTTGTTTTTATGCAAAATTCTTGCAAGTATTTTAATAAATTACACAAAGAAATCTGTCCTAAGGAATGAAAAGTGTAGGTGTTGCACACCTTTAATCCCAGTACTTGGAAAACAGAGGCAGGCTGATCTCTGTGAGTTCATGTTCCAGGCTAGCCAAGGCTATCTAATGAGACCTTGCCTAAAAAGAATTTAATTAAAAATAGAAATCCTCACTTTGAGGTAGTAATAACTTGAATCTCATTCTGTAATGGAGATAGAGGTGGAAAGAGAAAAAGAACTCTTATCAGAGTTCAGATTAGATGAGGCATGCTGATGGATGCATGCAATCCTAGCTTTTGGGAGACAGAGGTGAGAGGATCAAGGAAAATTCAAGGCCAGCCTTGGCTATAGAGTGAATCAAAGCCAGCCTGGGCTACATGAGACCCTATTGCAAATAAACAGACAAAAATATTCCAAATATATGACTGTTTTAAGACAAAAAGTCTAGACAAGTGTTAAGATTTGAAACACCATCAGAGTAATCTCTTTGGGGAACATAAGCATAGAGACTGCAGGCTTCTTAAAATACATAGAAAATTTTTTTAAATCCCAATAACTAAAGAAACCAGATCAAGATAGAAAAGACTATGACTAAGTTTTTATTGCACTAGATTTACTAAAGAAAATGGTTTGAATGTTGACTGTATTAAATGCAAGTGTAATGAAATACATAAATGGCATAAGCACATACTATAATGTGATTATTTTCTGTAATTATTTTAAGTGGAATTTTTGGATTACAAACAGTATTTTTGTTACATTTTGAAACCCATTGCTTTTACCTAATAAAATTTCCTCCTCTACATTCAGAAGTTAAACTGTTTGTACATTACCTTCATTTGTATTGCATCTGTTTGCAACCTACTTCTTTTAAAGCATAACTAGTCGGCTAAGTTATCATCTCCCCATTCTCTAGTGTCACAATAATGTCCCCCAGAGGTGGTCATGTGTGGCCCGAAAAGAGAATTAGCTAAAATTTTACTGCTGATTCCTGCTCATTCGTTTTTTGATACAGAATGATTGGAGAACTGTTCCAAGGCAAAAATGAAAGCAGATTATCGTGTTAACCATGACGGAATGTTTGACAGGGCAGCTTCACTTTGCCACATAATTTCAAACTGTTCTCAGAACACGATTTGTTAGCACTCAAGATGAAGCAGGCAGACTGCCTGCAGCTTCCCGCCACCTCTCAGAAAGCATGTCTGCCAGGGCCTGGTATATAGATGTCCAGACGGAACATGGCAGTCTCCTCGACCATCTTACTATATATCTTCAGTTTAATTGTAAGACTAAGCTTTGTTTTGTTGTTTTTTAAGATAAGGTCTCACTCTGTAGCCCAGGCTGCCTTAAACTGGTGGTGATTTTCCTACCTCTGCCTTCAGAGTTCTAGAATTACAAGTTTAAATCACCATACCAAACAAGACAAATTTTTTAAGACTCAAAGAAAACAAATGGTAATTTTTATCCCCCTCTAGGGACAGAGAACTGGAGAATTATCCTAAGACCAGGCACCTTAGAGCTGCTGAGGCGGCATTTGCCACCAAGCCTGAAGACTGAGTTTGATTCCCCAGAACCACATGAACACCAGCTCTCTCCATTTGTCCTCTGACCGCCTTATGTACTAGGGCACATGTACTCACACAAAGTAAGCATGTTTGAGAAAAACAAAATACTAGAGACAGGAGGATTACGGCTAGCCAGTGTCATGTAGCAGGGCCCTGTCACAAAAAGGTGTGGATGTCGCCTTAAATAATTACAAAAATGCTTGATTAAAGGGGTGCATGCCTTTAATCCCAGCCCAAGGTAGGCAGAGGCAGACAGATCTCTGTGAATTTGAGGCCAGCTTGGTCTACAAAGTGAGTTCCAGGACAGCCAGGGAATCCCTGCCTTGAAAAATGAAAACAAAAAAGAATTATGAAATGGCACTGTTTATAGAGATCTTAAAAATAATCATTAGTTGAATTCCAGCCTGCTCACACATCCTCAAATTTGTTACTGATTCTACTTCATCTTCAGCCTCCTCAAAACAATCACAACCCTAATGAAGCCTGTGCCTGGGTGGGATTAAAAGGATTTAGGACAGTTTAGCCTTGTCTACCAGCTAATGCTTACACACATCGTCTTGGGCCTCATATTAGCTCTATCTCTAGTGCAGATATTTTCAGATATTAATCTGTTTCAACTGTCTGTCTCTGCAATGTGTAAGAGGATTTTCTTCCTACACAGGAGAAAGATTGTGGATGAAAATATTATGCTCTGTATAACTTGTAATAAACAATGAGTGAGCTAGGAATATGACCCAGAGATGAGATGCATTATAGGCTTTTGTACAAGAAACCTTATGTTTAATCCCCAACACCAAGACCCAAACCAAAGCCCACCACGCTAAGAATTACTACTGTGTTCCAGACACTCTTCCAGGTACTAGGCATTGATTGAAGAGTGTTTCCAATATGTTAAATCTCTTGATTCTTTGACCAATCTGTGAAAATTTAGTCTTTGGATTAAATATTTAGAAACAGTCCTGCATATATGATTTTACCTATTGGAAGCCAGTACTGATTTATGTGTAAGTAATAGGTCTGGTGAACATTGTTTCAGTTGAATGTTAAAAATCAATTGGAAGTAGCACAGAGAGTTGGTAAGAGTTCTGGCCTAGCTTGCATGAAATCCTGAGTTTGATCCTTACATGAATAAACTGGGCATGTTGGTACATGCTTACGATGTTAGCACTTGGGAGGGTAAGGCAAGAAAATCAGGAGTTTGAGGTCATCTTTGGCCACATAGTGAGTTTAAGGTCAGCCTGGCTACCCAAGACCCTGTGCGGGAAAAAAAATGTGAAAATATAATAAAACAAGTATTGATAACCCTGCCATCTAAATGCTGGTGTCATTTTCATATACATAGAATTATTCCACTAAAGCTGGGTGGTGCACACCTTTAATTCTAGTACTCAGGAGGCAGAGGCAGGCGGATCTCTGTGAGTTAGAGGCCAGCCTGGTCTACAGGGTGAGTTCTAGGACAGCCTCCAAAACAATACAGAGAAACCCTGTCTTGAAAACAAACAAACAAACAAACAAAAATCATGTGACTATGTGAACATGGTGAAACACACCTTTAATCCCAGCACTTGACAGAGGCAGGCAAATCTCTGTGAGTTCGAGGCTGGCCTGATCTACATACTGAGTTCTGGGACAACCAGGGCTATGAGGAAAGGCCCTGCCTCAAAAAACCTTGTAAATACTTTTGCAGCTACATAATTCATCATGTGCATATATGTAATCGATTTTTTCCATTCAATATTTAAACCATTTTCAATTTATTGTTGTTGCCACCATATATAACATAAGCATTTTCTATTTCTCCTTAAGATGAACCACACAAATAATATTAGATAAGGTATATGATCTCTTCAAGGTGAAAACAAACACTGCCACAGTCCTCCAGAAAACCGTCAGTGGTGAGCAGTCTTGGTAGGGTTTGCCTGTTTTGCTACACCACTAACATAGATGGTCAAAACCTTGCTAATTTAATCTTTTTTAATGGACTGTGATTTTATTTATTTATTTTGGGTTTACTGTTTCAATCTATAGCTCATGCTGGCCTGGAACTCACTATGTAATAATTCTTCTGCCTCTTCGTCCTGAGTGCTAAGATTATAGGTATGTACCACCACACCTACCTGAACTGTGGTTTTTTTTAAAAGATTTTATTTATTTATTATGAATACAACATCCTGCCTCCATGTACGTTTGCACATCAGAAGAGGGCACCAGATATCTTTACGGATGGTTATGAGCCACCATGTGGTTGCTGGGAATTGAACTCAGGACCTCTGGAAAGAGTAAGCAGTCAGTGCTCTTAACCTCTGAGCCATCTCTCCAGCCCCTGAACTGTGTTTTTAAGAATTCTGAGGTATAATTATCAAAAAGAAAAAATGCCTGTTTTAAAACATAATATAAACAAGGGAAATGTAAAAAATACCAACAAAATGAATATGCCAATGTTCTGTCTGAAAAAGTTTCACATAAAATAAAAACATGACTGCATTTTTGTGGGAAAGGTTCAAGATACCATGTACAGTATGAAACATGCAAACATCAGTTTACCAGGTGAAAAATGAAAGCAGGAAAATGTAGCTAATAAAAACATAGGTAAAACTGCTGTTGTCATTTCAGAAGACACTTAAAGATGAATGTAGTAAGAGACTGCAAGATTTTTCTGAAGTGACTATATAGATAGGACATGGTCACTTCACAAAAGAGCTCTCCCTTTGAAGTTCAAAGGGCCTCTCTGTGGGAGAAGTTTGAGCCTTCTGGCTCTCAGTCTTGTTTTGCTTGAGATATGTGGAGAGACCAAATCGTGGTGCCCTCAGAGACCAGGAGAGGGCGTTAGATCCCTCAGAACTGGAGATTTGGATGGTTGTTAGCCTCCATGTGGATTCTGGGAACCAACACTAAGTCACCAACAAGACCAAGACCTTTTAACTGCTGAGACATCTCTGCAGCCCACTAACTCCCTTAGTTTCCTTTTAAGATTCATTTTAAAAAATATTTTCTAATAAGAACATAATAAAGGTGTTTTGTCTGCATGTATGTGTACCACTGCTTGCCTAAGGTTTCTTTTTTATTTATGTATGTGTGTTTGTCTTTGCATGTTTCTATGCACTTGTGCACAAGAGCTCAAGGATGTCAGAAAGGTGACATTCCCTAGAACTGGGGTTAAAGGTGGTTGTGAGCCACCATGTGCGTGTGGAGAACTGATCCAGGGCCCTGTAAGAGTAGTTAGAACTCTTCACTGCTGAGCTGTTTCTCCAGCGCTCTCCCTCACCCCCCCCGCCCCCACTCCCCGCTTTGGGTGAGCTTCCCCAGTGCTGGGTATGGAAGCATATATCACCATGCCTGGTCTCCTATTTTCTTCCTTTTATCTCAATTTTTTCTTTAATTTCTTTCATGGAAAACAGGATTGTAGTTAAACCAGCTAAATCAATGAGATGAAGAAATCGATGGCAAATGTGTTTTTAAAAACTAGAAATTACGAGTTCCAGGACAGCCTCCAAAAAACAATACAGAGAAACCCTGTCTCGAAAAACCAAAAAAAAAAAAAAAAAAAAAAAACTAGAAATTACATATAGGAACAAATAAAAGGATCTTTAAATTTTTCCTGATTTTTATACAACTCTGAGTTGGAGAGATGGCTTGGAGATTAAGAGCACTTACTGCTCTACCAGAGAGAATTCTGGGGTTCAATTCTCAGCACCTGTGTCGGGTGGCTCTCAACCATATTTAATTCCAGCTCTAATGCCCTAGGAGTTCTGAAACTCTAGACCCTGCAGGCACCTGCAACACCACATTGCACAAACCCGACACACACACACACACACACACACACACACACACACACACACACACACACACACGGGGAGAGGGAGGAGGTTGGAGAGGGGAGGGAGGGACGGAGGGAGGGAGGGAGGGAGAGAAAAAGGAGAGTAAAAAAAAAACTTTCATGTTTCTCACACAACTTACTAGCCAGTTTAGCCAGTTTCAAAGAGCGGTTCTCTCCTGAAACTTCGAAAACAAAAAACAATCCCAACAACACAAAAAACTACTGAATGCATCCTGACCCCCAATTTTCGATTCAGAACTCATCTGCCCAATCGTACCCCACACTCCAACTCCTCAATCTGAGTAAAGAACGCCTTTAATCCCAGTAGAGGCGGGAGGGTCTCTGTGGGTTCGAGGCCAACCTGGTCCACAGAGCGAGCTCCAGGACAAGCTCCAAAGCTACAGAAAAACTCTGTGTA